CCTTCTCAAAGTAGTGTTGACCGTAATAACAAGGATGCAGCAATTCTTTTGGGACCTTCAATTGCTGATACCACTCAAAATAAAAAGAAACAGCTACAAACATCTGATAATAATCAGAATGTGAAATGTACGAAGTATGTATTTAGGGAAATGGAATGCTGTGAAAAATGAAATGGAACACTTAAAGATTGATACTGTAGGCAGTCATATGCTAAAATAGACCAGTATTGGCCATTTTGAATCAGACAATCATATGGTTTACTATGCTGGGAATTACAAATTGAAAAAAAAATGATGTTGCATTAATCATCCAAAGGAACATTTCAAGGTCTGTCCTGAAATACAGTGCTACCAGTGATAAAAGAACATCAATATGCATATAAGGAAGATCAGTTATTAAGATTATTACTCTTAGATAAAGAAATTGAAGATTTTTTTACCAACTTCTGCTGTTGAGATTGATCCAACGTGCATTCAAGAAGCACTGTTAATTACTTGTGGTTAGAATGCAGGCACCCTGGTCCTGGTGTGATGCTGTAGGGTGTAAGCAATGGGCTGCTAAATGCAAGGTCAGCAGTTCAAAACCACCAGTCAATCCTTGGAAACCCTAAACAGTGGCTCTCTGAGTTAGAACCGACTCTACAGCATTTAACAAAAAAACAACAGCATGCAAACATTGGGAAGGAAGAAGGGAATTTGATCATGGTGATAGTAATGACACTGAGATTGCATGATAGAATTTTGCAAGACAAATGACTTATTCATTGCAAGTATGGTGTTTTTCAAGCAGCATAAACAGCAACTCTACACATACACCTCACCTGATGGAATACACACCAATCAAATTGACTACTGTGGAAAGAGATAATGGAATAGTTCAATGTCATCAGTCAGAACAAGGTCAGGAGCTTACTATGGAACATTGCTCATATACAAGTTCAAGTTGAAGCAAAGAAAATTATTACAAGTGCATGTGAGCCAATGTATAACCTTTAGTATATTCCATGTGAATTTAGAGAACATCTCAAGTATAGATTTGATGTATTGAATGCTGTTGAACAAAGACTAGATATATTGTGGGATGATGACATCAAGGACATCATACATGAAGAAAGAAAAAAGTAATAAAAAGAAAGGGGGGTGGCAAAATTGATGTCAGAAGGAGACCCTGAATGTAAAGTGAATTCAAGAAATGATTGCATAGAAGAGCTGAATAGAAGAATCCGCAGGGCATCTAGAAAAGACAAAATAAACTATATAACGAAATGTGCAAAGACCTGGAGTTAGAAAATCAAAAAGGAAGAACACGTTCACATTTCTCAAGAAAGAACTGAAGAAAAATTCAACCCTTGAGTTGTAATATTGAAGGGTTCTATGCATAAAATGGGGTCTGATGTGATGCTGGAAGATAAGCACTGGCCTGCTAACCACAAGGTCAACAGCTTAAACACACCAGCTACTTCTTGGAAACCCTATAGAATGTTGCCATGCCATGAATGGGAACTGACTCAACAGTATTTAGCACCAACAAAACATGTGCAAATATTAAATGACACAGGAAGTTCACAGGGAGATAGAAGGAACACACAGATTTTTCTACCAAGAAGAATGGGTTGACATTCAACAATTTTAAGAGATAGCAAATGATCAAGAGCTGATGATATCGAAGGAATAAATACACGCTCCACTAAAAGCACTGACAAAAAACAAGGTTCCAGGAATTGACTGAATACCAATTGAAATGTTTCAGCAAGTAGATATAATGCTAGAAGCACTCCCTCGTCTATGCCAAGAATTTAGAAGACAGTTACCTGGCCAACCAACTGGAAGAGGTCCATATAAGGTCATTCCAAAGAAAGGTGATCCATCAGAATACAGAATTTATCCAACAGTATCATTAATAGCACACAAAAGTAATGTTTTACTGAAGATCATTCAAAAATGGTTGCAGTAGTCCACCAGCAGATAACTAACATGCAGAAGCTCTTATATATATAGACCAAGAGGCAGTCATTCAAACAGAATAAGGGGATACTGCATGGTTTAAAATCAGGAAAGCTGTGTGTCAGGGTTGTATCCTTTCACTACACTTATTCATCCTGTGTGCTGAACAAATAATCTGAGAAGCAGCACTATCTGAAGAAGAATGTGGCATCAGGATTGGAAGAAGAATCATTAACAACATGTTACATGCAGATGACATAATGATGATTTCAGCTTGCTGAAAGTGCAGAGCACTTGAAACACTTACTGATAAAGATCAAAGTATAGATTGCACCTCAATATAATGAAAACCCAAATCTACACAACTGAACCAGTAAACAACATCATGATAAATGCAAAAAAGATTGAAGTTGTCACGGACTTAATTTTACTTTTAGCTCATATTAACATCCATGGAAACAACAGTCAAGAAATTAAGTGACATGTGACATCGGGAAAATCTTCTGCAAGAGACTTCTTTAAAGTGTTAAAAGATGTCGCTTTGAGGACTGAGGTGCACCTCACCCAAGCCATGGTAATTTCAGTCACCTCATATGTATTCGAAAGCAAGACAGTGAGTAAGGGAGACCAAATAAGAATTGATGCCTTTGAAATATGGTGTTGGTGAAGGTACATATTGACTATGCCATGAAGTGGTAGAAGAACAAACAAATCTGTCTTGGAGTAAGTGTAGTCAGAATGACCCTTGGCAGCAAGGAGACAAGACTTCACCTCACATACTTGAGACATGTCACCAGAAGGGACCAGTCCCTGAGGAGGAACAGCATGCCTAGTAAAAGTAGCAAGTCACTGAAAATTAGGCAAACCTTCAGGAAGATGAATTGGCACATTGGCTCCAACAGTGGCCTCAAACATGGCAGCTATTGTGAGAATGGCTCAGGACTGGACAGTGTTTAGTCCTTGTATACACAGGGTCACTATGAGTCAACAACAACAACCATGGCACTGTGAATGAGCCTGGATGTTTTGAGACAGATATAGATACACACCCTTGAATCCTTTTACTCTTTTTTGGTCCAGAATACTTTTTTGCATATCTTTAGTTTTTCCATCCAAAAATGGAGTTATATAGTCATTCAGGAAGTTGCATTAAATGATTTAATTGAAGGAAATAAGAGGAATATAACATCTAGTGAAATACTTTTTACAAAATTCATCCTCAAAGCATAGCTAGTGATGTTACTGTGGTTGTGTTTAACATTGAAAATTAAAAAAGACAAACCCAATGCCGTGAAGTCCATTCCTATTCAGAGTGGTCCCATAGGACAGAGTAGAACTGCACCTTTGGATTTCCAAGACTATAAATCTTGATGTGAACTGACAGCGTTATCTTTCTCCTGCAGAACAGTTGGTGGGTTCGAACTGCTCGTCTTTCAGTTAGTAGCCCAACATGTAACCCACTATGCCACTGGGGCTCTTGTGTTTAACATTAGACTTCAGTAGTAGCGTAGTGCTTACGAATCGAGCTGCGAACCGCAAGGTCAGCAGTTTGAAACTACTAGCTGTTCCGTGGGAGAAAGATGAGGTGTTCTGCTCCCGTAAAGATTTACAACCTCGGAAACCCTGTGCAGGGTCGCTATGAGTCAGAACCAACTCCATGGCACATAACAACAACAACAACAACAATTATGTCAGAAACACAGAAATGGGATCCTAGATAAGCTAAGAATTCTAATGAAATGCTTTGTGAATTTATCTCCCCACTTGATCCTTTTCCCTTCATTGCATTTTTTTTTTTCAGAGCACCCAATTCCTCTGGCGGGATTTGGAGTTAGTTGTGCTTTGTGCTAGAGGGTCCCCAGGGGCACAGAGCCTTCACATCTCTGAACCACACAGACAGCCCCACCCCACTTCCCACCCCCAATCAGGACCATGAGGCCCTTTTCAATTCAACATCTGTTTCTCATCCTTATTCTGTTTGTAACCCACAGAGGACAGGGTGAGAGGTTTGGTAAACAGGCTTTTCTCTCCCATCTCAAGGAGCATCTCCTGGCAGAAAGTGGGATTAGCGCCTGGAATGGGTCTTGGGCGAAACCTCTTTATGGTGATTTTGTAGGTTTGATTCTCACCAATAGTATGTGAGCTGGTGGCAGGGAGAGGACCTGATTCTCACTCCATGATTTTATAGCATATGCGCCTTCTTCTCTTTACATCACGGGTAGTGGTCACACTTTTGCTGTGGCTTGTTCTTTAAAATCATAACCCCCAAAATAAAAACCAAACCAGCTGATAATCGAGTTAATTCTGACTCAGGATGACCCCTGTGCTTCAAAGTAGAACACTCCTTTGCAGGGTTTGCACATTTGTGGCCATTTGGAATCAGATTTCCAGGCCTTTTTTCTACACCCCAACTGGGTGTAGATGCAGTTGAAAACATTATTTCACTGAGCTGTGCTATCATGCTCACTTGGCAAAAAGGAACTGGAAACTTTGGAATTGTGATTGATTGCCATCAAAATACATTAAAACTCTGTCAAACAGATTTGTGTGTTTCTTATTTAAGAATCTGTAATTCATGTAATCCAATTCCTACCTATGCTAATGAGCAATCCAATAAAATTGAATGGTAACCATTACCTAGTATTTAGGGAAAAATTCATCATTATTAACCTTGCCTCCAGAGGAAATATTGCTGTGAACATATTTTGAGCCTTGTTGGAATTTCTTTGGGTTTGTAATGAGCGAATCTGCTTTGAGCCAACATGCGTCCACATCCCCAGGTTCAGCATAATGTGATTTTAAGTGGCCACATCATTAACCTTTGAAAAATGGAGGAAGTCATGGAAAAATTCACAAAGAAAATCTCGACCATAGCAACTGCTGTTAGCAACATGGGCTTTTCTCCTGGTAAATTGTGGTTGGGAGTCTTGGTTGTAGAATGAAAAAACTAAAAAGTTTCTTTATTTCTCTGCTTATAGCAATTTTGGGGGTTCTTAAAAGTTGATGTTTATCTTTGCCTACAAAATACTTTAATATTCTCCCCTCACGCTTCCTAGGTGGCGCATATGAAGTCAAGCAACACCGATTCTTCCGATCCTTAGACTGGAACACTTTGCTGAGACAGAAGGCAGAATTCATCCCACAACTGGAATCGGAAGATGACACCAGTTATTTTGATAGTATGTACATTATCTGACATCATGCAGTGTTCATTGATTACTTTGTAGATCATCATCTATACTTCTCGTGGTACCTTCCGATCTAGAACCTACAATGAGCTCTATGAACCCATGAGTTCTTACACATAATGTGGATTTGAGCTAGAAACTCATTTTTAAAATATTTCCATTAAAAGCTGAAATTCCAGGTAATTGGAGCTGTTCCCACACATTTCTCTGCAGCTCGGTCAGAGAAGTATCACCATATGGAAACGGAGGAAGAAGATGATACAAATGATGAAGACTTTACTGTGGAAATAAGGCAGTTTTCCTCATGTTCGCATAGGTTTTCAAAAGTAAGTGGCATTCGGCATAAGCATATAGATTCTTTCTGGGTGACTCTCCCTCTGGACAGTTAGGTACTGCCTCTAAACACCTGGCTAGAATCATAAAAACCAGCCATCCTTTTTGGGCATTGGGATCTCCTGTGATTAAAACCATTTTGTGTTTTGTTTTGTTTTGTTTTAAGAAAAGTGACCCTGTGGTCTTGGCATTCTATGCAAAGTCCTCCCACCCCTGTGGGTGTATAGTCTCTGTTTCACTCTCTACACAGTAAGACCTTTATTTACTGAAGGTTCAGACTCACACTCATGGCCACATCTGTGGAATATGTGATAGTCATTTAGAGCATGCAAGCCGTGCACACCCCTCTTTCTGTCTCAGTGCCAGGCTGTGGCAGCCTCCCATCATATCCTCTAAGTCTGTGGGACTCCGGTGTGCGGGAAGCCCTCTGCCTGGTGTTACACAGAATACAACACCAAGGAGAAGAACTTAGTCCTTTACGTAAGCAAAGGCTCCTGGGGACGGTTGACTGTGGGATGGGAAACTCTTGTAAGCACTGATACAAACTATTATTTAGCTTTTTAAAGAGGCAATAGGAAGCCAAGTTAGAATTTTGCCAACAGTTGTTGTTTTTAAGTGCCATCAAGTCATGGAGGAAAATAAAATTATTGCTTGAGAAAGACGCTTTTGCACTATTAATGGTAAGATTAAGAACAAACAACAAAACCAGACAGTTGTGAAACTGGACAGGACCCTAGGATGCTGGGAATGAGCCTGGAGAACACTCTACCTCCTTTTGCTATTGCTTTTGCTAAACACTGCATGTTTTCTGTTGCCATGGCATTTTGCATGATTATTGATTAGGTTTTCTCTAACATTTGGTCAATCTAAAGTGTTCTGTAGGGTTTTCAGAGTGGTTTCCTTAAGTGTACCTCAGAATTATTCAGCAGGGATTTCCCTGAAGGGGCTGGTGGCAAGGCTGTCCTGGAGCTCAGACAGGAACTGTGATGGCAGTGAGAGTGAGGCTTAGAACAGCACCTGTCTCTGACCCATCAAAGCTATCCCTAAACACTATTTCCTTCTTTATCTGTAGATGACATTTCACTTTACCTCCGCCTCCAGTTATTTAGCCACCTTTCTCAGGATCCAGGTGCGCAGTCCAAGTAGTTTGTGTTCTTGTTACTGGCTGCTATCAAGTTAATTCTGACTCAGTGCAAGCTGATGTGTGCAGCTAAAGTGCTACACAGGGTTTTCAGGGATGTGACTCTTCAGCAAGTCACCAGGCCTGTCTTGTAAAGCGCATCTCGGTGAGTACGGACGGCCAAGCTTTCAGCTAGCAGTGGAGCACCTGCTGATTATAGGAGGTCTAAAGGCCATTACTGGAGTCCTTGTGTGGCGCTGTGGGTTAATGCGCCAGACTGCAAAGCCATTTGAACTGCAAGGTCAGTGGTTCAAGTTCACCAGCTGCTCCTTGGAAACCCTATACAGGGTCGCTATGGGTTGGAATCAACTCAACGGCACTTAACAACAACAAAGGCCATTTCTGGTGTGGCGCTGTGGGTTAATGCACTAGACTGCAAAGTCGTTTGAACAACAAGGTCAGCAGTTCAAGTTCACCAACCGCTCCTTGGAAATTCTATACAGGGTCACTATAGTCAGAACCGACACAATGGCACTTAACAACAACAATAACAAAGGCCATTCCAAGAGTGCTGTGGCTTTGTTGAATAGGCACTGGATTGCTAACCACAAGGTTGGTGGTATAAGCCTACCGGTTGTTCCTCAGGAGATAAATGAGGCGTTCTGCTCCCGTAAAGATTTGCAGCCTTGGAAACCCTGCAGAACCACTGTGATTCCGAACCTACTGAATGGTACTTAACAACAAGAACAAAGGTCTTTTGCAAGGAGCCCTGGTATCACAGTGGTTAAGGGAGCTTGAGTCTTAACCAAAAGTTCAGCAATCCATCCCTTATTTTGTGCTGGAGGGTGGCTACGAGTCAGAATCTACTTGAGTTTGAACTGCCGACCTTGCGGTTCAAACTGACCTTCTGTCCAGTGCTTTATCCCAAAGCTCCACAGCAGGACTCGAGAGTAGTAGTAGGTTTTGTTTTGTTTTAAAGTCATTCCACAAAGCAGCAAATGGCAGAATAGGACAGAGCGTGCTTCCTGTACTTCTCAAACCCAGTTAGACCTTTCCAGAGGCCATATGAGACCCATGGTTTGCCTAAACTCTGGTCTCCTCCAGGAATTCCAGTACCAGCATACAAAGTTTTCTGTCTGTGTATGTGATTTGTAAACCTAGCAAATATATCTGGCTTTTTATGACCATATATGTACAACATTTTCCCTCCTAGGTCTTGAAACAGGTAATTTATTCTTCTCTTCACAGTCAAGTCCAATTCATTTTTCTCCTTCCCACCCCTGACTGGTAGCCATTAAATCTTTTTCTCCGTGAGTTTCTTTTTTTGATTGACTTTATGGTTAAAAAGTAATCTAGGATATACATTGATCCCCAAGCCCACATCTATAGATTTTGTTTGCAGTCTGTACTGCAATATTGTGAGAGATGGTGATGAATTCATAGTTCCCACTCCAAAAAAAAAGAAGAAAAAAATATTTTCTGTTGACTTGTCATCTCAGGACTCTAGTAAACAGCATTGGAATGCTCTTCTACGTTCATGGTCCCAATCCAAACTTTAGTTACATTTTCACAGTTTCCTCCAATTTTTTTTCTCTTTAGACAAACTATTTCAAGACTTTATTAAAGATGCATTGATTATTTGCCTTTTAGGTTTTCAGCAGTATAGATCGAATAACTCAGAATTCAGGAGAAGAGAAGGAAGACTCTGGAGACAAAACCAAGAGCACAACGTTGCCGTCCACGGAAACATTGAGCTGGAGTTCAGAATATTCTGAAATGTATGTGAAATGTCTGTTAAGTACTATCAGAAGCAGTAGCTAATAGAGCAGTGGTTCTCCAACAAACAGCCTCGGAATCACCTGGCAGGCTTGTTAAAACATAAATTGCTGGGCCCAGCCAACATTTCTGATCTGGTAGAGCTGAAGTGGAGACTGAGACAACATTGATGTCACTGGTTTGGGCTACACTTGGAGAATGACTGCTTTTAGCTGTATCTTGGTTAGAGACTCACCCAAGTCCCATTTTCACCTAGTTTCTTCAGAAAGCAACTTTGAATGCAGTTTCCTAGTGTATATACATGACTTTGTTTTTATTTTTAATTAAGGCAACAGTTATCCACATCCAACTCTTCAGATACTGAAAGCAACAGACATAAACTCAGTTCTGGCCTGCTTCCCAAACTGGCTATTTCAACAGAGGTAGAACAAGATGGAGCTTCCACCTGTGCTGGAGAACCCCATGAAGAGCCAGAAAAGCCAGTCCTTCCTGCTGAAGAAGGTGCTCAGGAGGAGCCTGAAGTCACCACCCCAGCCAGCACCATCAGCAGCTCCACACTGTCAGGTAAGTTACGTAACGTAAAGCTGGCCATCACATCCTCCATCATGTTGAAAAGTGACTCTTCCAGCTCTAAGTCCCAGAGCTGCTATAGGCCAAGTGGTAATTTATAGTACCAGACTCTTTCCATGATCCGGCTTCTTGGGGTTGGGAAACAATCTTCTAAATATAATCTAGTATCTCAGATACTCCTTTAGCATTAACCATACAGCACTTAATTTTGACCTTCACTTTCCCAGTTGGATTTCCGTGTAATCTTTTGATAGCAGTCAGAGCATGCCAATGTAGCATGTTCTCAGTTGTTGATGCAAAAGCAGGTCTTATGGAATTGCATCTAACTCCCAAGCTTTGGGAGTAAAGAAGATAATATCACGTAGTGAAAGTAATCAAATTGTTAGAATTACCCTTGATAATTTCTTGAATCACCCTTTAGGTATAATATAAAACCAGCTATAGAAATGGGTGATTGTCTTTTTTAAAGTAGTGGGCTTGAGTTAAGAAGCTAAGTTGTGCCACATCACTTCTTTTTCCACATTAAACTTACACTGAGTACAAGAAGCTTATGCTGTGAGATTCATAGATGCTTTCCTGCGTAGCTAGGGTCTGAACTTCCTGAATTGCTTGGGTAAGGGGTCACAGATGCTAGCATGGCTTCAGTAGGTATTTTATCTACATATGTAACAAGTCCACTAGTAACATGAGTTACCCTTCCAGTCTGTGCATAAGTGGAATCAAAGACTCTTGAGACATTTTGCTTATTGGGATGCAGTCTTGGCAAGGATCTTGGTCCTTTTCTTTGAAAGCATTTTATAAAATGTTTCTTTTGTGGGAAATAACCTTGTTAACACTAGGACCAGCATCTTCCCAGGTTTCTGATGCTTACTGTATCATGAATACACAATGTCAAATTTGTACTTCCTTAGAGCAAGCCTTTTATGTGCATTTAAAATATTATCTGATTTATAAAAATATTATATACAGCATATCCTTTTGCAGAGTAAGACATATCTCTGCCTTTTCCTAAAGATAAGACATGGCTATGGCTGAAAGGTTGCTACAATCAATGTTTTCATTAAACCATATTCAACAGGCTATATTTATAACCATGAATGATTCCAAGATCATCGTGAACAATTTTTTAACTGATCAAATAGTCATGGTATAAACTTTGCATTTTTTCTTAATCATTTAAAGAAATGAAAAAAAAAATACTTTTTTTTAGACGGAATTTATTTCAGCCTCACCAAAATGTTTAGTTATGTTGTAGATTAGTTGTTGTTAAGTGCAGTTGAGCCAGTTCTGACTCATATATAGCAACCCTGTATATATGTAATGTCGGGTTTCCAAGGCACAAGCAGCTGGTGAGTTTGAACTGCTGAACTTGTGCTTCAATCCAGCCTTGAAGTTGAACTTTACTTATGCTTATAGTTTATCATGGAGAGCACTGGTAGCATGGTAGGAGAAGTACTATGTTGCTAACCACAAGGTTGGCAGTTCAAGCCCACCAGTTGCTCCATGGGAGAAAAATGAAGCTTTTTGCTCCTGTAGAGAATTATAGACTCAGAAACCCTAGAAAGGATTGCTATGAGTTGGAACCTAATAGCAACAACAACATAGTTTATCATAGGAAAAAATGTTAGATTTTCAGTTCTCTCTTCATCTCCATTCTCCTTCATGTTGGATAATTCCACATCTCTTAACCCTTCTTAATAAAGAGAATACAATTAATTAGTCCAAGATTCTGGACCATTTGTATTTTATCTTTATCATCAAATCAAATGTAAATGCCTTAGTATTTTATATTCCTGGTTTTGATGGTCTCTACCAGCTTCTTAGTTATTGTTTGACCTTGGATAGAGTATCTTTACCTCCATTTAAAATTTATTCATAATATGGTAAGTTGTTTACAATTTCTTAGTCTCTTACTCCTACTCACTATCAAAAAGGTAGGAGGTAAAGGGAGGGAAAAAGTGTCTAAGCATTTGATTGATTATTTTCATAATTAAAAAAAAAAAAAAAAAAACCTGCCTAGGCCCTGCCATGCATTTTGATTAATAGATTCAAACCACCTTTGTCTCTCTCCCCCATATACACATTTCACATAATCAAAGACCTTGGAGGCTGTATAGAATAGAGGGATGAGCTGATGCGCTCATAGCCAAGGGTAATTAGGGACCTTGAAAAGCGTGACTGTAGTAAAATTAAATTTGTTGATTTTTATATTGCTCCACCATCATGAAGAAGGAACCCTTGACATTTAGAGAACATTGAGGTGACATTATCCACCATTGGCAGAAAGGAAGCACATATTCTGTGCAGTGCTATGAAATGAGATGGCTGATACAAGAGGTAGGACATGGTGAAAGAGAAGATTGTATTCTCACACTCGGCCTTTGGGGGAAGTGTATCTTTATACCTGTTCCTCTCTTTTCAAAACTTTCTATTTAAAGCAGTGAAAAGTAAGCATTCTGAAATCTTAGGTCTAGTGCTCACAGGTAACCAACAATTACTCCTTGTGACAAGATTTAGCTTTTTGTTTTATACTTGTCAGTGATCCCATCCAAACCAAATGTGAAAAGAGAAGAAGGAAGCCAGGTATAGGTAGTCCCTGACTTAGGATAGAGTTCTAATGCAAGTCTAATACCTCATTTTTTCCCTTAGTTTTTATTGTTACTGCCTTTTATTACCAGTATCTTTCTAACTTTGTCTTTGGGTGTTGGAAGCATTGTATCTGAGGATGATTACATCATCACATTGCATGGTGCAATATTGTATCTAGTACATAATACTAATAATAATATGTTCCTCTACTGAAACTATAATGTGATTCCTCTTAACTCAAATATGTTGTAAGTCAAAGACTATCTGTATTGTTAAGTGTATAATTTATCTAAAGGCAGGCACACATGTTTTGAGATGAGATTTGTATGTGTGAAGCAGGTTTTGACCAACATGTAATAGCCCTCCAGCAATTTATTTATTTAGATTGAGTTGGAGTAGGTATACTGAAATTGAGTTTGACATATATGATTTGAAGGATTGTTGATATTTGCCTTAAGATAATCTTCTATCATTGGTCAAATTTCGCTCACATCCCATGGAAGTCCATGAATCTCTGCCTCTCTACAGCTCAACAGGTGTATTGCATCCAAGTCTGTTCCAACACGTCCTAGACATCCCTTAGACTGGGCCAGAGCTGTATGATCTAGGCCACCTCAGGTAAAGTAGGGCTGAGCTTCAACTATACAGCTGAGTACTGTGAATAGTGCAATAGCACAAATGTTCATTAACTCAAATTAAGCCTAGTTCTTTCCTGAGCAAAGATTGTGACTAGAACAGCCCTTTCAAATGTGCTGGCTAGTCTTTCCAAGGATTGTTTATGATGGTATTAAATTCTCTGCATGGACTGCGTATCTTAAAATGATGATGAAAACCCAGCCCACTGATATTGAGTTGATTCCAACTCATAGTGGTCCTATATAAGGTTTCTGAGACTGTAAATCTTTATGGGAATAGAAAGCTTCATCTTTCTCTTGAGGAGTGTCTGGTGGGTTTGACCACCCACCTTTCAGTTAATAGCCCAATGCTTATCCCACCACTGTGGCTATAGCAAGGGCTGATGGTTTTTAAAGCCAAGATACTTATTATGTAAAATGAAGTAAAAATGATATGAGCATTATTTTCTTTCTATATAGAAAAGATGTGTTGTTGAAATGAAATAAAACTGACAGCCTACATGTAAAAGAAAGAGTTGAAGGGACCCCTAGGGTGGCTGTTCAGCATTAGCTTTTCTGTGAGGGACTCACCATGCCTCTCTTGCTTGGGAACATTCTTTATTTATTCTTGGTCTCTGCAGCCACCAGACTTATGTCTGTAATTTTCCATTTCTGCCTCCTCTTACATGATTGTACTCTTTAATGGTCCACTGGTTAGGGGAGTCCTAAATTTTTGATTGAAAAATAACTCCAGTTTACAATCAGTGTTAATGAAGTTAGAAATAAAGACCTGGCTTTGACTTAGGACAGGATCTTCCCAAGCCACATAACTTCAGAGAGGAGAGCAGCGTATGAGTCTCTGAAAGCCAGGAAGATGATGAGTTGCTAAATTCAGTATCACAAAACATCCTTTGTGTTTCCTGTTAAATTTACAAGAGACTTAGAGGAAAATGTGATATATGGTATGAGAAGAAAAGGAGACACTCTTGACAGTTTTCTGTAGATTATATACTTGAACCTTGCATGAGGTATGCCCTAGGAAGATGGTAGTAGATGACACAGGTGTTAGCCTACAGGGAAGATTAACTGTCTGGGTGTCAAGAATGATCATTAACAATACTGAGAATGATGATAATCATCGCATAAAGTGGGTGCTCATGGCTCATAAAGTAATCTTTGGCTTATTGCATGGCCTTTCATGGCATGGTGAAGAGTTTTCTCTACAACGCTTGTAGAATACAGAGTCTTTCTAGAAAGATTCATAGTTCTTATCTATGACCACCACCAGACTGTCAATGTGTTATATTTTAGTGGCTTACATGTTGCTGTGAGGCTGGAAACTGTGCCACTGGTTCTTCACACAATGGACCAGTTCCGTGGAGCTTCTAGACTAAGACAAATTAGGAAGAATGGGCTGATGATCTTCTTTCAAAAACTGGCCAGTGATAACCCTGTAGGTCAGAACAGAGTATTGTCAGATATGCTGACAGATGAGCCCCCATTTGGAAGGCACTGGGAGTACACAGTGACCACAACAATGCACTGAAGCATACCATCAATCACAAAGAAGGTGCAGGACCAGGCAGTGTTTAGCAACTAACAAAACCTATGCATGAAAGGACTTGTGGTCTTTTAGTTAAGTGGAGTAGTTGATCAGAAATCAGCAGACATGTTGTCCTTTGAACATAACCTGAATGCACACCTCTTTCATCTCTTTCTCTTTCATATCACCTTTCTCAAACCTTCCCTGTGTTGTCAATGTGCACCTGGTGCTATGTGGACTGATGAACCACTTGGGAGTGTACTTCCAAGCTTTTGTCTTTCCTTCTCTTTCTTCCCCTCTCCCACCTCTACTGTCCTTGGTTTTTCTTCAACATGTTTATTCCTTCTTCTTTGTACAGTTGGCAGTTTTTCAGAGCACTTGGATCAGATAAATGGACGCAGCGAGTGTGTGGACAGTACAGATAATTCCTCAAAGCCCTCCAGTGAACCCGCTTCCCACATGGCTCGGCAGCGATTAGAAAGCACAGAAAAAAAGAAAATCGCGGGCAAAGTCACAAAGTCCCTTTCTGCCAGTGCCCTGTCCCTCATGATCCCAGGAGGTAGAGAGACATCTACTTGCATGAAATTGTGTGTGGTTTGTGCATGTGGTCCTCACCCCGCTTCCCTAGTTTGGAATGCTGATTGAGATGCAAGATATTTTGGAACAATCATGGATGATCTCCCAGCTCAACTCACATAGCTTCTATAGGCAAATCCCAGATTTCTTCCTGCAGAACCTCCACACCCCACCAAAGAGCATGTGGCTATTTCATGCCACTTCCTTCTGTATCAGAGACGAACAAGCCTTCCTTCCCATGGCTTATTTCTTTTGTTTTCTTTCTTTTTCTTGTCTTCCAAGTGAAGTCATAAATTTCCCTCCTCTGAATAATTTTTCTTCCCTAGACTATGCATCATTTATACAGTTTACAGAGCTGTATATAGAATCTGTGTAAGAGAGCTAACTATAGTTTTTTTCTCTTGTAATTAATGAGGAAATAGACACAGGGAATATAAGCTTTTCGTTTCTGGGATGAACAAAGTCAGAGACAGCCCTGAAATTATGTTTTCCTAACCCTGTCTGTTGAGCTATGCCTCCTCCTACTGGTAGTCAAATCATTTTCTGCCCTGTTGTGGAAAACTAGGCTTAATTATGGTTTTATTGTGAATTTGCACTGTTTTTCCACAGTCTGGTTTTACTTCTACTGATCACTAAGTCTGTAGTGATTTCACTGTCAGAGATGAAATATACACCCTGGTGGTTGTGACTTATCACTTAAATGAGAGCAAGAGAGTAGAAGTGGGCATTGAATTAGATTTCCCTGACTTGTATCTGGAATACAGACCACGTATAAAAGAGATTGTGTACATTTTTTTTAATTTCATATTTTTGCAGGAGGAAATTTGATCTAATCATATGCTCATTTGCGGGTAGTGTTTGCTCTAGCAAATCCAGTTTTCTGGGGGACATCCCATTTAGCACCATAAAACAATCACTGATTTCTCTACTTTAATATAACCATTTATAACCCAACGGTGATCACTCCCAACACAGCTGTGTGGTGGGAAGGTAAGTTTGAAATAGGTCCATGTTTGAAAGCTGGTGGAAAATCCTTCATTTTGATAGAGAAAATGCTAAATTTGTGGAGATGAGAGTAAAGAATTGGGTGTGTCCATATAGATGTTCTTCCCACTAGCTTATTATAACTTCCCTGCCCACCAGGGTGCTAACTAGTATTTTGATTAGACAGAAGACAGCCAGCAAAATAGAACCAAGAAGTGCTATGAAGTCAGAGCAAAAGCATACAGTGGTAACACATTGAGCTTTGTTCCTTTTTGGACAACTATAGCAATTGGACCAAAGGCAGAAGGTATACCTTTGGCTTTTTGTAGTGGGGCTACAATAGTACTGGTTAGTTTGAAACACAGCTCTGACTGAGCTCATATTTAAACCTCGGCATTTTTGCAGATAATTCTTTCTCTCAGAATCACATACTTATATACATCTATACACACATACATAGATCATTTTAATGACTAAGTAAGATCGATTTAGATTCATGTAAATGTTATATTGATATGAACTACAGATTAAAAGTGTGCTTGCCTATAAGACAAGGACAACAGTATGAATTGACTTTTAAAAATTTTTTTCTATTTCCCTCACTTGCTTTATCTTCTTAAAAACTTTATTGTTACAAGTGCAGGTGATAGACAAAGAGAATCATCAGTTGTTAAACAAAATAATGAGTCACTCCTGGGAAGTTGCCATTGTTCTGTTTTGTTGTTGTTTTAATGATAATCTGGTCGCTTGATAGCATTGTGAAAACAACATTGTAAATCCTCTTCCTGACCAGAGATGTTTGAAAAGGATCATGTTAAAGTTATTAAAGGCAAGATTTTCGAGTCTGAGTATCTTGCACATGGCTTATACAGTTCTCTCTGTATGAGAATATACTTGAAATAAATGCCCTGATGACTTATTTCTTTAATAAAATTTCAAGTATTAACTAAAGATAGCACAGCCAGAAAGTACCTAGTCTTTGTGTATTTTAACACTAGTGCAGAAAACTTAAAAATTAAAACTTTAGGGTATTTAGTAAAGCATTAATTAAAATGGAAACAATTTCAAAGTCTCCTTGACAGTCTTCTCTTTGGAAGTCCATGTTAATGACCAGTATAATATAGACACTTTTGCATAATTTCTTCTTGATTTGGCTGTTGTAAATGAATGGATTTATTTTTTGACTATGCTTCCAAACCTAGCAGGGCTGATGTGGTCAGGGCTGGCTGCATGGATGTCAGTGGAACTGGGGTCCACTTTAATGACACTCTTCTTTGTCGTAGATATGTTTGCTGTTTCTCCACTGGGAAGTCCAATGTCTCCCCATTCCCTGTCATCAGACCCGTCTTCTTCACGAGATTCCTCTCCCAGCCGAGATTCTTCTGCAGCATCAGCCAGTCCACATCAGCCCATTGTGATCCACAGTTCAGGAAAGAATTATGGTTTTGCCATCCGAGCCATCCGGGTATACGTAGGAGATAGTGACATCTACACAGTGCACCATATTGTTTGGGTAAGACCAATAGTCTCATACTTGTAGCTTTTTGTTTCCAACCAAATTGGAGAATGGTTTTACTAGTTAAAGCACAGTTATTGTCAAATGCATTTCCTGTTAAGCTGCATTTGATAAATGCTTAATTTTTACATTAGTGTTCTTTCCTTGATTTATATTGTAGAATTAAATCTAGCAAAATTAATCCTTTCTTACACTGCTGTAAGCTGTTCATGCAGCATTGTTCACTTTGTATACCTAATAGAAATAAAGAATCCTATTACTATCCTCCTTTTCTTCTCTTTTTCTTAGTTCTTTTCCTGACCTTCTTTTTAAAAACGTCCTTCTCAATTCATCTGAATTTTTTTTTTTTTAAAGAAACCAGAGGGCTCACTCTCTGTGAGAATGATGACAGAACAGGAATGGAGTTTTGATTTCCCATTAAGAACTTAGGAACATTTGCTGATGAACTCAGAGTAGTCTACCAAAAGAAATAGTTCGGGTCATTCTTTGTTTGCTTATGAACCTATATTCTCCTCTTGGACTTTAGAATGTAGAAGAAGGAAGTCCAGCATGCCAGGCAGGACTGAAGGCTGGGGATCTGATAACACATATCAATGGAGAACCAGTGCATGGACTTGTCCACACAGAAGTAATAGAGCTCCTAATAAAGGTACTGTCTTTTTACACATCATGACCATGCAGAAGAGATAAGTCTCCAGAAGTATCTAGTACTACCAAGAGATTGATGTTTTCCCATTGCTTAGCCACATTCACTTTCATTATGTGAAAGTATTAAGTATGCTAAGGTTTAATGCAAAGAAAGCGATTTTGAGTTCTTTGTTTTTGTATCAGGAAAAAAATAACTTCATATATCCACCAAGACCTCATAATTTAAATTTATTTTCACTCTGATTAGGACTTGCCTTTGTTTCATGTACGTCATGTAGTGAAATCTGCTTGGTGTTCTCCTGTGCTCATGTTCTTCAGGAACTTCATAGCTTTTATTCTAGTATATTAGAAGTCAAATTGGTATTAAACTGTGAAGTTGGTTCTGTAGGTTTAATCAGAGAAGTGGATTTCTTTTGAAAGAATTATAAATACATGTTCTGACCTCCTGTTATGGTGCTGTAGGATCAGCACTAGACAGCGAACCACAAAATTGGCAGTTCAACTCCACTAGCTGCTCCTTGGAAACCCTATATAGAGTCGCTATAAATTGGAACCAACTCAACAGCACTTAACAACAATACATGTTCTACAACGGTAAGTCAAACTACACTCCAGTTACACAGCAGCTAGTGGATTTGAACCGCCAATTTTGTGGTTCATCGCAGTCCAGTGCTGATGACAACATTGAGTGTCCACATGAAATGATTCTGTCTGATAGATGAGTCACAGTGGATTATGTGGCAAATCATTTGTAATTCAGCTGTGTCTCTGCCTATGCAATAATCCACAACAGACTTGGATTTTGAAAAGTTTGTGTGAAATGGGTACCGAAATATCTCACAGAAGCGATTGGATATCTGCAAACAAAATTTGGACCCATACTTGAAGGAATGTAAAAGTGTCTTAAAAGAAAAATCATTACTGGTGACGAGACATGGATTCATCGCTACAAGCCTGAGAGTAAACGACAGAGTATGGAATAGAAACATCCTCAGTTGCCAAGCAAGAAAATTCCAAAGTCAGCTATCAGCTATCAGCTGGAATTCTTTAGGGCCTGTATTGGAATACCAACGGAAAAATGGTTCAGAAATCACCAGTGCTTTTTACAGTGATGTGCTCACTGAAGAGCTGATGCCTAAACTTCAGATTACATGAAGATGACTGCCATCCAAGGACCTTGTGACCTTGCATGACAATGCACATGCGCACACCACTGCTCACGCTGTTGACACTCTGAGAAACTTCGTTTCGAGGTGCTAAAGCATTTTTCCTATAGTCCTGATGTTGCTTGGTCCCTGAAAGCAGTCCTTAGAGGAGGAAAATTCACCTCTGATGAAGAAGTGAAGACAGCTCAGCCTAAAACATTTTTTAATAAATGAATATGGAAACTTGTTGACAAATGGACAAAGTGTATTGAAAAGCAAGGAGATTATGTTGAAAATAATGTATTCATCTTTTCTAAAAGTTGGTTAAATTCTACAGAGTAAAGATAATTTTTGACTCACCATCATATGAATTATAAAAGTAATTGATGGTTTAAGAAGGAATTTCAGCATATTAGGCCTCTTTCCCCCCTCTTGCCAATCAATTTGGAGAGTTCATTTTTATTTAGAAGGAAGTCTATGAGGTAAGAAGATCACAAGAAGCATGAATCTGAGCAAAGGAAAAAGAGAGCATATAGACTAATCTTCTCAGGTTGACCTGTTGAGTTAGGTGTGTTGCTACCAGATGATTCTAGAGTATAAAATTATAGCTCTAAATATATATCTAATCCTCACCACTGGACCAATAAACAACATTCTTATCAATGGAGAAAAGATTGAAGTTGTCAAGGACTTCATTCTTCTTGGATCAACTATCAACACTCACGGAAGTAGCAGTCAAGAGATCAGACGACGTATTGCACTGGGCAAATCTGCTGCACAGGAACTTTTTAAAGTATTGAAGAGCAGAGATGTCAGCTTGAGGACTAAGGTGCGCCTGACCCAGGCCATTGTGTTTTCAATAGCCTCATATGGATGCGAAAGCTGGACAGTGAATAAGGAGGATCATAGAAGAATTGATGCCTTTGAGTTGTGGTGTTGGAGGAGAATACTGAAAGTGCCATGGACTGCCAAAAGAACCAATAGATCTGTTTTGGAAGAAGTGCAGCCAGAGTGCTCCTTGGAGGCCAGGATGGCTAAGCTTCGTCTCTCCTACTTTGGACATATTGTCCAGAGGAAACAATCGTTGGAGAAGGATGTCTTGCTGGGTAGGGTGGAGGGTCAGAGAAAAAGAGGAAGACCCCCAACGAGATGGATCAGCCAGGTGGCATCATTGATGGACTCAAGTGTGGCAGCAGTAGTGAGATTGGCCCAGGATCGAAGATTGTTTCGTTCTGCTGTGCATGGGGTCGCTATGAGTCGGTTCTGACTCGATGACACCTGACAACAACAACAAACAAATATACATCTAGTTGAAAACAAATAAAGATGACTTTAGATTTGATTTTAACTTTTTTTTTTTTTTTGAAAAAGAAAGCTAATTTATCTGTGATCAAAACTACAATCTCCACCTGTAAGGCTATTTTTACAAATTAACAAACAAATTGAGCTCACTTCTCAAGCAATGTATTTCAGACTTTTAAAAAGAGCTGAGCTCACTTTTCAAGCAATGCATTTCAGATGTTTTAAAGGAGCTATCAGACATAAAAAAATGTCCGCTTGAGGACTAAGGTACACCTGATGCAAGCCATGGTATTTTTAATAACCTCATATGCATGCGAAAGCTGGACAGTGAATAAGGAAGACCATAGAAGAATTGATGCTTTTGAGTTATGGTGTTGGAGGAGAATATTGAAAATACCATGGGCTGCCAAAAGAACAAACCGATCTTTATTGGAAGAAGTACAACCAGAGTGCTTGTTGGAGGCCAAGATGGCCAAACTTTGTCTCTCATACTTCGGACTTATTGTTAGGAGGGACCAGTCGCTGGAGAAGGCTATCATGTTTGGCAAGGTGGAGGGTCAGAGAAAAAGAGCAAGACTCTCAACGAGATGGATTGACAAAAGTGGCAGCAGCAGTGGGCTCAAGTGTGGCAACAATAGTGAGGTTGGCCCAGGACCGGGCAGTGTTTTGTTCTGTTCAGCATAGGGTCACTATGAGTCAGCACCTAACAACAACATCAGACATACAAATGTGAACCATAGCTTGAACCATAACCTATTTAGGGAGATGAAGCTTAAGTACATATACTGTTATTATGTGCTACTCAAACTGGCTCTTGACTCATTGTGACCCTGTAGGACAGACTAGAACTGTTCCACGGGGTTTCCAAGGCTGTAATCTTTATGGGTGCCCTGGTGTGGTGCTGTAGGATACTAAGCGAAAGGCAACCCCACCACATGCTCCTTGGCAGTCCTCTCCTGGGTTGCAATGAGTTGGAACCAACTGGATGGCGCTTTACAAGAACAACAAATCTTTCTGGAGGAACTCTGGTAGCAAAAGATCTGTACTTCAAACCCACCTCTGACCACAGGAAAAGATGTGGTAGTCGTCTTCTGTAAAGATTTCATCCTCGGAAATCTATGGGGCAGTTCTGCTCTGCCCCACAGAGGCCTGGTGCGGTGCTGAGGGTTAATGTGCTGGCCGCAAAGTCAGTTTGAACTGCAAGGTCGGCAGTTCAAGCTCATCAGACGCTCCTTGTTTACCCTCTACAGGGTCACTATGAGTCAGCACTGACTCGATGGCAGTTAACAACAACACTCTGCCCCATAGGTATCAACTTGATCGCAGTGGTTTTGTTGTAATCTTTATGGAAGCAGATAGCCAAATCTTTCTATACTGGAGTCAATGGTGAATTCAAACCACTGACTTTCAGTCAGCAGTCAGATACTTAACTGCTGTACCACCAAGGGTGGTATCTATGCTCTAGATATAACTATGTATCTATGATATAACTGCTGTATATTCTGACCATTTCTGGAGCAGATACAGTTTGCCTTGCTTACTGTGTAATCCATCCTGCTCAAGGATTGATTCTGTAAGAAGATGCTACGGAGTTGGGAGAGACATAGATACCAACCATACCTGTTGTTATTGTTAAGTGCCGTCTAGTCAGTTCCGACTCATAGTGGCCCTGGATACAGTTTCTGAAGAGTGGCTGGTGAGCTTGAACCTCCAACTTTGTGGTTTACACTGACCTTGCAGTCCAGCACATTAACCCATAATGCCACACCAGCCATACCTAGAAGCAGAAATTTTGATGTGGTAGAAAAACATGTAAAATTGTTCACTACAGATTAGTAAGCAAGTACCGGTAACCCCATGTTTGCCTTGCTTACTGGAAAATACGACAGCAGCCACATACCATAGTAAACATTGGTAATGTGGACAATAAAGTTTAGTCCGGGCCCTAGAACAGTACCAGAGATGTAGGTAAAATAGCAGACTACAGCTTTAGTCAGGACTTTAGCAGAGGAAAGAAGAATTGGATACTTCTAGACAGAGTGAGAAGGGCCATCACAGAGCAGTGGCACTGAGCTGGCACTTGAAGGGAATTAGGGATTAGAAAGACAATACAGGGAAGAAGGTATGCAAAGACGTTCAAAAGCAAGTGCGACTCAATGACATTCTTCTGCCTTCCCTATCATTCCTCCAGCAATGCAGGTATATTTTCCAGAAGATTCGGGGTCTGACCCTAGTTTGCGGCCCTGTAGGATAAACATTGGACCTTTAGCTGCAAGGTTGGCATTACAAATCCATCAGCTGCTTTTTGGAAACCCTATATAGGGTCTCGTTGAGTCAGAACTGACTTGATGGCACTTAACAACAGCAACAATAGCATTCATATCCAAAGATCACAAGAGAGTTCTTGCAGTTGATTAATTCACAGCATTAATGATATTTTCATCTTGGACTCAAGTCCCATGGGTGATTGGGCGGCTAATGCTTGCTGTCATGCATACCTTGAGGGCGTTTCCCTAACTTTCTCACAAGTGCATGCTATTGATCACGGAGAGGA